AAAGGTTTCCAAGACAACCTATGATGAAACAAGATTGATTAGAAATTTATACATGTATAATATTCAAGCGACTAACATAAATACTTGATGGATAAGCTCAGAATATTGTCGTAAAACTTCATTTTCTACCGATAGCTGTTTTATTGTACGCATATTGTGAATAACTTCAGCAGCAAGCTGCAAAAGTAAAGGATAGAATTAATAGAGCATATTCGATTTATGAAATAATTTCACAGCATTTTAGTTTTCCCTACATAGAAAGATTATTAGCTAAAACCTTATTTTACCATGCTTGCTCGTCCGATAATTTGATTGGATTGTTGAGTTACCCATAGACCTACCCACACATCCCCATAAATAAGTATGGATAGGATAAAAAGAGGACCAAAAAGAATCAATGTTAATTGCCAACTTATGAGGCATCCGAGTAAAATTCCAAAAAACATCAGTGTGAAGGCTTCACAGATGACTCCTAATCGTGTACCAGTCATCTCTTGAACGGCTGCTGCATCAGAAGAAAGACGAGTACAAATCGCACCAGAACTGTTTTCGGATCGATCGAAATAGGCTACTTCTTGACGAAGAAGACATGCAAAAGTTTTCGAACGAATACGTTCGGTCAATTTCGATCCTGATATGGCAAAAGCTGTATACTATAACAAAAGAGTGAATAACTCATGAATCAAATTCAGAAGCCGCATTTTTTACTTGCAAGAAACGAAAAATCAATAAAAAAGCAGCCAGAAGTAAAAAAAGAAGACTGATATTCAACACTTGACGATTTCGTTCAGAGTTGGAACAATATTTGAATGCCTGCAAAATAAACCGACATAAAACGATGTATATTGTCAATTTTTTTGCACGATATCTATATGGATCAATTACTTACATCGACTACTTTGACCAGTAAAAATACAAACATTGGTTGAGCCGCTCCACTAAGTACACATGCTATACAACCAAATAAGATGGTGATCCATTCAGGACTATTCATTGACAAGAGTCTTAAAAAGACAAATCTTTGTTTGAATGGTTTTGGATTTTGCTAAAAGAGGAGATTATCAATAATAGTTTTTATGAATAATTGGAGAAGTATTTGTACTTTGTTCACATCAACAATTTGACTATTGCTAAGTAAACACGTGCGCTCAACTATTCAATCAAAAAAAGACGAAGAACATTGAAGACTATCATAATTGGAGTATCAACAGACTTATCGACTTTTTTTCTTCTTCTATTGCTTTTTGTATGCTCATCATATCATGTTTATCATCGTCGATTCTTTCCATTTGTTGACGTTTAAGCATTGATTGATATTTACCTCCTTCTTTCTCCATTAATGTTTCATGTGTACCTTGCTCAATCACACTTCCATTATCTAATACATATATTTGATGAGCATTTTGAATTGTAGTCAAACGATGAGCAATTACAATAGTTGTACGACCTATACAGAATGTTATATCCATACGATAAGCAGGAGAAACAATTGTTACCTTTGCATGCTCGATCGAGCGCTTCTTGAACAATTTTTTCGCTTGCATTATCAAGTGCACTTGTTGCTTCATCCAGTAAAAGAAAGGTAGGCTGTTTGACAAGAGCACGAGCTAATGCAATACGTTGTTTTTCACCACCACTCAACTTTATACCACGTTCACCAACAAGTGTTTCATATTTCTAAACAAGAAATAATGATACATATATAGATAAAGATAAATATTTGATGCAAACATCTGGTAACTGCATGATGAAATGATGTGCATTTGCTTCTCGTGCTGCTTGTTCAATTTCTGCTTGTGTTGCATTTACTTTACCAAAACGAATATTTTCATAAATACTCATACCAAACAGAATCTATTACAATATTGAATTAAAAAGAAAGAGACCAAAGAAAAACGAAAAAACAGCATACAGGTTCTTGACTAACGACTCCAATGTTTTGTCGAAGTTGTTTAACATTGTAGTCTGTTATCGGCCGACCATCAATCGATATGTGACCCGATGAAGGTTCATAATAACGAAGAAAAAGTGATATACAAGTACTTTTTCCTATGAATAAATTATGAACACAAATGAGATATTGTTAACGTTTTTATTTTTGAAAAGACCTACCACAGCCACTTGAACCTACAAGAGCAGTTGTCTGACCAGCACGAGCAATAAAAGAGAGATTACGCAGAACTGGTGTAGCTTCACGAGATGGATAAATAAAGTTGACATTGTCAAATTCAATATCACCATCGATATCATAAATCGATTCTGTTTCCTTCTTCCATACATCTATTTCATTGATACTTGTGTCATTTCCCTATATCGTGCAAACAAATAGAGAAGATTGCTGTTGACATGATGCCAAAATTTATTCGGGTTTACCTCATCAATAAGTCGGAACACCTCTGTTGCTGCATCTCGAGCTTGTGAAAATGATTGAAAGAAAGGAACAAGAAAACTGAAGAAATTCACAGATTGTGCGAAAATGGGAACGACCTACATTTAGATAGTAGTCGAATATTCATTTATTTATTGACTGATAACATGAATTACTCACAATAAGAATGTTGCTAATATTCATACTAAGACGATCGTTACTGGACATAAAAAAAGAACCAGAGATGAAACCAACTGCATAAGCTAAGTAGGCTGTTAGAGATAGCCATCCAGTAAAAATCCCAAACACTGCACCTTGACGTATACTACTCCAACGAGCTGAATACAATTCTCTTTCATATCTAAATGCAAAAAAAATAACAATATGTTTCATCATAATATGCAAGTAAACTAGTTTTATATGTTCTTTTACCGTTTTTGTTCATATTTGCTACCATTGAAAGAAAGAACAGTTCGAAGTGAACTAAACACTTCTTGCACAATGTGTCCTGCTTTCGCGTACGCCCTTAACTCATTCATTGCTTCATTAGAAGTAACCTATGACAAATTATGCAGATTTAATTTATTGAACAATACTTCATACCTTAGAAAATAGAAATAAACTACCAGTAACCAAAGTTAACAAACAAACCATGATCAAAGTTAATTGCCAGTAGACAACGAAAGATA